TCACGTATCCTCCTACACGTGAGTCACATATCCACCTACACTCGAGTCACATATCCTCCTACACGTGACAGTCACATATCCACCTACACGTGAGTCACATATCCTCCTACACGTGACAGTCACATATCCACCTACACGTGAGAGTCACATATCCACCTACACGTGAGAGTCACATATCCATCTACACGTCAGTCACATGCCCATCTACACGTGTGAGTCACATATCCTCCTACTCATGAGAGTCACATATCCACCTACACGTGAGAGTCACATATCCATCTACACGTGAGAGTCACATATCCACCTACACGTGAGAGTCACATATCCACCTACACGTGAGAGTCACATATCCACCTACACGTGAGAGTCACATATCCACCTACACGTGAGAGTCACATGTCCACCTACACGTGAGAGTCACATATCCACCAACACATGAGAGTCACATATCCATCTACACGTGACAGTCACATATCCACCAACACGTGAGTCACATGTCCATCTACACGTAAGAGTCACATATCCATTAACACGTAAGAGTCAAATATCCACCTACACGTGAGAGTCACATATCCACCTACACTTGAGTCACATGTCCACCTACGTGAGAGTCACATATCCACCAACACGTGAGAGTCACATATCCACCTACATCAGAGTCACATATCCACCTACACGTGAGAGTCACATGTCCACCTACACGTGAGAGTCACATATCCATCTACACGTAAGAGTCACATATCCACCTACACGTGAGAGTCACATATCCACCTACACGTGAGAGTCACATATCCACCTACACGTGAGTCACATATCCATCTACACGTGAGAGTCACATATCCATCTACATGAGAGTCACATATCCACCTACACGTGAGAGTCACATATCCATCTACACGTGAGAGTCACATATCCACCTACACGTGAGAGTCACATATCCATCTACACGTGAGAGTCACATATCCACCTACACGTGAGAGTCACATATCCACCTACACGTGAGAGTCACATATCCACCTACACGTGAGAGTCACATATCCACCTACACGTAAGAGTCACATATCCACCTACACGTGAGAGTCACATATCCACCTACACGTGAGAGTCACATATCCACCTACACGTGAGTCACATATCCACCTACACGTGAGAGTCACATATCCACCTACACGTGAGAGTCACATATCCACCTACACGTGAGAGTCACATATCCACCGCCAAGCAGACTGGTCACGCTTTATAATTTATTCAGTATTGAAGAGAAACCCTTTGTTTATCGACCAATTTGTTCCACAAAAGACTTTGAAATCATAACGTGTCATCAAGTCTTACCTAAACATAAATTATTTATCGAAAATCAAAACAAATTGGCTGTTTTGAGGCAGTGATTAACATAATATCCTGTCTCTGACCAAAAAACCCTAACCAACCACCATCATTCCTACACAAATAATTACTGATGCATGGGTCCCTGCAGAACGACCTCTGGAAAACAAAACGCACTTCGAAGAGAGACAATAACTCGTTAATCCAGACCGTCCCACATTCCTACCAATTCCGTGGAACGTTATCGCCCGGATGAGGTGGGGTGAGGTGAAATTGGGTTTAACGTTGTGCTTGAGAATATTTCGCTCATATGACGACGTGCATGGGTGTGTACGTGTATGTGCGGATGCTTGTACTAGCCCAGACTTAAGCTGGTTTTATAGTGCTAGTCCACTGAGATACCACGCCGCAGTTAAGCATGAATACCCCACTGAGACACATTATACTGACTCCGAGCCGACCAGTCCTTGTTGTACCCAATAATGCCGAGCGCCAGGCAGGGACCAACAAGTACCATATTTTAACGTCTTTTGGTATGACGCGGTCGGGGATTCGCCCGGATGAACGAGGGTTAGTTGTAAGAAGCTCCACATACGTCATACACTGACTGAGGTTCGTTTGCGGAAGGAAAACGAATATTTACTGACTTCCGGTGTCCCAGAGCTGCAAGGACGGGATGTGCAGGTCTAATGGTGTTGGTGTGAGTGCCGTTCCGGTAGCGTCGTGACATATCATAATGAGTGTGTAAGTGAGTTTAGTTTTACGCCGCACTCCCCACTTTTATAAGTATGTCAGCAAACACAAGGCGGTTAACACCTGAAATGAGCTTAATACATTGTACTCATGTGGGGAATCGAACCCGGGTCTCCGGCGTGATGAGCGAAAGCTTTAACCACTAGGCTACCCCACCGCCTCCTGTAGGTTAGATTTGCGCTACCTTTAGGATTATTTTGTTGAAGAGTGAGTGAGTTTAGCTTTACGCCGCACTCAGCAATATTCCAGCTATATAACAACGGTCTGTAAATAATCGAGTCTGGACTAGACAATCCAGTGATCAACTGCATGAGCATCGATCTACACAATTGGGATATGATGACATGTGTCAACCAAGTCAGCGAGCCTGACCACCCGATCCCGTTAGTCGTCTCTTACGACAAGCATGGGTTACTGAAGTTCTAACCTTGATCTTCATGGGTCATACCATAAAGAGTGAGTGAGTGAGTTGGGTTTTACGCCGCTTTAAGCAGTACTCCGGCAATGTCACGGCGGGGGACACCAGGAATGGGCTTCACACATTGTACCCATGTGGAGAATCGAACCCGGGTCTTCGGCGTGAGGAGCGAACGCTTTAACCACTAGGCGACCTCACCGACCCATACCATAAAGAAGAGAAGCGTACAAGAACGTATGGGACTGCCAATGTATTGTGTCAATCACGTAGTATGTTTCGATTTTCGGGGTCATAGTGAGTGAGTGTGCTTTTACGCCGCCTTTTGGTATATTCCAGCAATATCACGGCGGGGACAACAGGGCCACGTTTCACAAAGCTATCGTAGCGTAGTGACTGTCTTAAGTCCATGTAAAAGTGTTGGAGGAAGTCTATGTTAAAGTGTAGGAGGTACGACAGTCGGAGCGCCAGATAGCTTTGTGAAACGCGGCACTGAAATAGGCTTCACACATTGCACCCATGTGGGAATCGAACCCGGCTTCTACCACTGGGCTACCACACCGTACCTTTATTTACAACGTTTTGTCTGAAATGATAGTTCGCTTTTAGCGATATTCCAGCAATATCACGGCGGAGGATAACAGTAATGGGCTCCACATATTGTATCCGTGTTTGGAATCGAGCCCAGGTTTTCAGCGTGACTAGCGAACGCTTTGACCACAAGGCTACCCCACCGCCCTCGCCTGGAGCAATACTTACATACCTGGAGATGAGAAGCATAGAGTTATGTAAGCGAAAGAATATTAGACTATCAGTCGGCGTTCTGTGAGTGGTATGTTGTTGATGCTATTACATTAATTAAACAAAGCGACAAAACCCTTTCCACGATTCATGACATCTCTTCTAAAAGTAGAGTCGATTGTACAATTGTGACTATATCATGAGTATATACACTCATGCCAATAATGGTTGTCACCCCCTTCAATGTGTTTTCATTGGAGTGGGGTGGGGTGTCCCCGGGTTGATGGGTTGGGAGAATATTGACAACGATTATTGACATGAGTATTTTTGTTTCAGCAGCATTATAACTATACGATGTTGTTTGTAAATAAATCGACAACCAGACAATCAAATGATTATCACCATGCGATACGATGACAGAGCATGTGTTAGTGAATATATATTAATAGTGATGATACCAGGTGTTCGCAAAAAGGTGAGCGTATCCTGCCCCACCGGTGACACCCGTTATAAACATATGCAAAGTCTGGTCATTTGTTCACCTGAAATAATTCGGAAACGTATGGTATACGTCAAAATAGGAAATTGCATCGGACGTTATTTATGTAACTGATGCGTCAAATTTGGAAAGTCTAGTCAATTGTGACCCGTGAAGGTTCGGGTTAGAATGAGCCCTTCAGAAACCCATGCTTGTCGTAAGAGGCGACTAACGGGATCGGGTGGTCAGGCTCGCTGACTTGGTTGACACATGTCATCGGTTCCCAATTGCGCCGATCGATGCCCATGCTGTTGATCACTGGATTGTCTAGTCCAGATTAGATTCTTTACAGACCGTCGCCATATAGCTGGAATATTGCTGAGTGCGGCGTAAAACTAAACTCACTCACTCTAGTCAATTGTTCACCTGAAATTCGGGAACGTATAAATTCAACTCAAATATTTAGAATTAGTTGTTTTTTCTCGACACACATGTAGTATAACCGTATATTGTTTTAGACCTGACATAATCAATTGTGTCCAGTAAATATGAGTTGTTTAAGGTCAGTTTTAATGGAACCGGCTATAAGGCTTTCTACAACACTACCTATATCTGTCAGCTGACGTGAAAATAACACAAGTATCAAAATTGTATCATCGGGACACAAGTATTTTTATATTAACGTATGTATTGTGTTCCTTGAGGCTATAATCTGTAAATCACGTCTCTTAAAACACCACCAAAGTCTATCGTGTCTACATACGTTTGAAATATCTGTGTAACGGTATATACAAACAAATAAATAAACGTTTAATGAAAAAAACATTTTACCTCCCAGCTACTAACTTCTTTGAGAGGCTTCACCACCAAGTCTAAAGTGTCTACATACATTTGAGATCGTTTGAAATAATTGCGTGTGGTGGCATATACATGCAAATGCATAAAAGTTTGATAAAAATTTCATTTAACCTTTAGGCTACTAACTTCTTTGAGAGCCTTCACCATCAACGTCTTACGTGTCTACATACATTTGAGATCGTTTGAAAGATTTGCGTGTGATGGTATATACATACAAATAAATAAAAGTTGATAAAAATTTCATTTTACCTTTCAGTTACAAGTTGTCAGTCGACGTATTCGGTGACGTGACGTTATATATAAACAAAGACGTCGTCACATTCACGAGGCGCCGTTGTCACTACGTCAGTTATAAACACGGCGACTATATTTGCGACTCAAATATACCAGTGTTTGTATATCCATGTAAGCATACAATAAACCCCTTACCTGATCTCTGTCATCCCCTGCTGTTCTGCTAATCCCGGGGGTGCCTCTCAACGCTTCAGGGCTGGGGATTTACTACAGCAACTGTCCAACCGCTGCCCCCTAACGCTGTAAGGAGTTGTGATGCATCTCGCGTACAGATATCTACAATCACAGATACGAGCTCCACAGCATGGCAACATGAACTTGCTCTTTATCACATGTATGGTGAAGTCTGGAAGCGCTTGTTATACATGGTGCATTGTTTTCTGCACTCGGCGTGGAGAAATATGCGCCATGTTGTTCCCATGTGTAGGTGAGTGGAGGGATCACATCGCTCTGACTTATGAAGTACATGTTTCTGGGTTGCGTAGACCGAACTTTCAGGCCTACAATAAGACTAAAATCTGATCACGTGTTACAAATCAAAATAACGTCAATGTGTAAAATTTCTTCAGTGAATTCACTTTCCCGTTGATTTAATACAGATTTTAGAGTACTATTTACTTATCATCACCTGTTGGTGGCGGTAAGGTAGCCTAGTGGTTAAAGTTTTCGCCCGTCCCGCCAAAGACCCGGGTTCGTTTCCCTACATGGGTACAATGTGTGAAGCTCATTTCTGGTGTCCCCGCCGTGATGTTGCTGGAATATGCTAAAAGCGGCGTGAAACCACACTCACTCACTCACTCATTCCATGTGGAATTCATTTCAGAAATAGGTCACCTCTTCAGGCTCTTCTACAAGGACTGTGTGTGCTAAACGGATGCGGAGTTGAAATTACATCCATGACGTCACAACATTATTTCAGCTGTGGGTTATCTGTAACGAATCGACAGCTTCCTTGCATACTATCTGAAATGCATATTTTAAGCTCATAAATTAATTCTAAGCACGTGCTTGATGAATGTACGACGAATTACAGACACATGCACGTGCAGTACGAACATACGGGCCAGATTAGACTTGGCATCACGGATGTCCAAGTACGAAGTTAAATATCGTCATGTATTACCAATGCACTTTGGGATATTTCTATATTTATTTCTATATTCATATTGTATAGTTTTCTTTTTTTAGACTTTTAGGACTGTATTTTACACTGCATTACGCAGTATTGAGTCATTTTTGAAACGGTGTTTGGAGTTCGATATTGCACTCGTAACGTAACATACGTTACAGATAATGGTGTGTGTTGTCCTTGATATATACATAACTTACGATATGCTATGGTTCCATGTTTGTTCGGTGTAGATAACAGTAGATGTTCTTTCTCCTACTTTATCCCGTAAGATAAACGTTATCTCCAAATGTGTCCAAAACTAGCCCTCCATTACACACCGATATCTACAGTTCTAAGCCGTAATGTACCTTGATCAAACACATGGGTAAAGGTGTCACGTTGTGTTTATATATGTTTTGGCTATATGTCTTCTAAACTGCAATAGCTGTGATTTCATTCATTTATTCATTATTTCATCATCAACTAGAACTAAAAAAATATTACTACTACTACTACTACTACTACTACTACTACTACTACTACTACTACTACTACTACTACTACTACTACTACTACTACTACAGCTACTACTACTACTACTACTACTACTACTACTACTACTACTACTACTACTACTACTACTACTACTACTACTACTACTACTACTACTACTACTGCTACTACTACTACTACTACTACTACTACTACTACTACACTACTACTACTGCTACTACTACTACAGCTACTACTACTACTACTGCTACTACTACTACTACTACTGCTGCTACTACTACTACTAACTACTACTACTACTACTACTACTACTACTACTACTACTACTGCTACTACTACTGCTACTACTACTACTACTACTACTACTACTACAACTACTACTACTACTACTACTACTACTGCTGCTGCTGCTACTACTACTACTACTACTACTACTACTACAATGCCAAGACCAGCTGTACTCAATGTTTACGCACGGAACACAGGTGTTTGTGCAGTATGGAGGATGTTTAGGGAAATATATACCTCAACGTTAACAGAGTCAGCTTGACATTAAGCGGTTCCAGATCTCCACGCCATTATACCAGTAGGCCTGAACGATCGGACTAGCCCATAAGGCTCGATGGCGAGTTTCCTCCAACACGAGCGTGACCCAGATGATAACCCAGGAGCGATAAGCATATTTCCTACTTATCTATTCTCTATATCCAGTCTTCATCCTCCTACACTGGTAGCTTATTCACTGTTCTGGCCCCATTGTAACCAGACCTCGCCCTTATCGAGTATTATGTCATTAAAGTCGAAGTGTGATACGGGGAACACAGACAGGAGGTATGTAATGACATATGCTATGATATGTAAACCAGTTTGCGAAAATGTAAACTTTTTTACGACTTGATAGCTGTTGTATTATATATATAGTACAGACTCGTACTGGCTGCTTTTTGTGCCAGTGGAAATATTAAGCTAAAAGGTTGAGTTATATTTCGTCTTTTCTTCCTCGTACTTTAACGCCGGTCTTAAATACAAAAACAAGGAATGGTTTATAATGTAATTTCTTGAGGTACATTTTGAGTCACGATAGATTACTGGATTTAACAAATTAAACTGAATATTGGGGTGAAACATTCCAAAGGATTTTCCTTTTGTCGTTCGTTTGTTAGCTTTTTATAATTTTTAATTATCATTAGTTAATGTTTTAGGTTTGCTTTGATTATCAACATAGGTAAAGTAACAAGTCACAACAAACACTATGAATGTCTTTGTATCGATTTGATATAACCGATAATGCCCACTATAGACAGAAAAGCCCAATATCTTACTCGGATCGTTTCGGGAAAGAGGGAGGGAGTTTAGTTTTACACCGCTTTTAGCAATATTCCAGCAATATCGCGGCAGAAATAGTCATTGTACCCATGTAGGCCTGCGGCGTGACGCGTGAACGCTTTAACCACTAGGCTCCCGGCCACCGCTCCACGGAAATGACAAGGCCTGATGAAAGTAAAACGCTATGACAAGGAATGAGCTGTTTTCCATAAAAAGTGTTACGTGTTCATGCTCTTATGGGGGCGGTGGGATAGCCTAGTGGTTAAAGTGTTCGCTGGTCACGCCGAGAACCTGGGTTCGATTTTTCACATGGGTACAATGTGTGAAGCCCATTTCTGGTGCCCCCCGGCGTGATATTGCTGGAATATTGCTAAAAGCGTCATAAAACCATACCCACTCACTCACCTCATGCTCTTATAAATTGTATTTCAGTTAGATTATCGGGTGTCAGCCTCATGGTTGTTTGTTGTTTTACGCCGCACTCAGCAATATTCCAGCTATATGGCGGCGGTCTGTAAATAATCGAGTCTGGACCAGACAATCTATCTACGCAGCTTGGATACGATGACATATGTCAACAAAGTCAGCGAGCCTGACCACCCGATCCCGTTAGTTGCCTCTTACGAGAAGCATGGGTTACTGAAGACCAATTCTAACCCCGGATCTTCACGGGTTCAACCTCATGTTGGAGGACAAACCATTTGATGCAGTTCTTTGACGTATGATGCTGACAGACCGTATCTTATCAGCGTGAATCTAAACTCACGATCGTAGGATTCTGGCACGCCTAGGGGAGGCAACTCGGTAATGTGAATTCCAGCGCCTCAGACGAGACGGACACCCCGTGCTAACCTATCCTTCAATCAACCATTCGCTGTACTGATCGCAAACGTGTCATAACCATTACGTGTAACCGCGTGTGTTCGTGCGCGTGCATGCGTGTGTGCTTGTAGTAGTCGAAAGTGCATCACACAAGTGCCGATCTTAAAGTAGACAATTCATCTATTGCCATCATGTATATGCGTCTTAAAATTCCGTTATTTTACAGCACGTGCTAATAATAAGCACATAACAAATGATACATACATGACTGATAAACAAGCACAATTATTTACACAGTTATACCACTCAAACATTTTTGCGCCTATCTGAACGTGCATTTAAAGGACATTCATAAGTCCTCTCCGACCAACATTTAACCTTCACTAGAAATCACATAAACTAGCATAGATGTTGAATCAAAGTATCCTTGAAAAGTCTGACCTGTTGTTCATAGATATCCTCTTAGTTTCAGCATCTCGTGGCATATCGTGGAATCTCGTGGCATCTCGTGTTCTAGCACATGGTGGTGAGGGTTTAAATAACTGCGCCTGTTTCCGGAGCAATGTCCGCGATATGACGTCATGATTTCCGTAGACGGCCACGCCAATATCTTGACCTAGTGCAACGCTCACACACTAGGCTGTAGAGTAACGGTTTAAAACGGTCACCCATGTTGTGCCGATCTTGAAAACTATATGGTGTGATGCACATTGTGTGTGTGAACCTACATATGTGTACACCGAGCCGGTAGACGAGCTATATTGTTTGATGTACATTGTGTGTGAACCTACATGTGTGTACACCGAGCCGGTAGACGAGCTATATTGTGTGATGTACACTCTGTGTGTGTGAACCTACATGTGTGTACACCGAGCCGGTAGACGAGCTATATTGTGTGATGCACATTGTGTGTGTGAACCTACATGTGTGTACACCGAGCCGGTACACGGGCTATATTGTGTGATGTACACTGTGTGTGTGAACCTACATGTGTGTACACCGAGCCGGAAGACGAGCTATATTGTGTGATGTACACTGTGTGTTTGAACCTACATGTGTGTACACCGAGCCGGTAGACGAGCTATATTGTGTGATGCACATTGTGTGTGAACTTACATGTGTGTACACCGAGCCGGTAGACGAGCTATATTGTGTGATGTACACTGTGTGTGTGAACCTACATGTGTGTACACAGAGCTGGTAGACGAGGAGCCGGAAGACGAGCTATATATTGTGTGATGTACAGTGTGAGTGAACCTACATGTGTGTACACCGAGCCGGTAGACGAGCTATATGGTGTGATGTACAGTGTGTGTGTGAACCTACATGTGTGTACACCGAGCCGGTAGACGAGCTATATGGTGTGATGTACGGTGTGAACTATACTGTGATGTGCCTTGTGTGTGAGCCTACATGTGTGTACACACCGAGCGAGCTATATGGTGTGGTAGACGACGAGCTATATGGTGTGATGTACAGTGTGTGTGAACCTACATGTGTGTACACCGAGCCGGTAGACGAGCTATATGGTGTGATGTACAGTGTGTGTGAACCTACATGTGTGTACACCGAGCCGGTAGACGAGCTATATGGTGTGATGTACAGTGTGTGTGATCCTACATGTGTGTACACCGAGCCGGTAGACGAGCTATATGGTGTGATGTACAGTGTGTGTGAACCTACATGTGTGTACACCGAGCCGGTAGACGAGCTATATGGTGTGATGTATGTGTGTGTGTGTACACCGAGCCGGTAGTATATGGTGTGTGAGTGTGTGTGAACCTACATGTGTACACCGAGCTGGTACACCGTGTGAGCCGGTACACCGAGCGTGTGAGACGAGCTATATGGTGTGATGTACAGTGTGTGTGAACCTACATGTGTGTACACCGAGCCGGTAGACGAGCTATATGGTGTGATGTACAGTGTGTGTGAACCTACATGTGTGTACACCGAGCCGGTAGACGAGCTATATACCTGTGTGAACCTACATGTGTGTTGTGATGCACCGACCGGTAGACGAGCTATATGGTGTGATGTACAGTGTGTGTGAACCTACATGTGACACCGAGCCGGTAGACGAGCTATATGGTGTGATGTACAGTGTGTGTGAACCTACATGTGTGTACACCGAGCCGGTAGACGAGCTATATGGTGTGATGAACCACAGTGTGTGAACCTATATGTGTGTACGACCGAGCCGGTAGACGAGCTATATGGTGTGATGTACAGTGTGTGTGAACCTACATGTGTGTACACCGAGCCGGTAGACGAGCTATATGGTGTGATGTACAGTGTGTGTGAACCTACATGTGTGTACACCGAGCCGGTAGACGAGCTATATGGTGTGATGTACAGTGTGTGTGAACCTACATGTGTGTACACCGAGCCGGTAGACGAGCTATATGGTGACGAGCTATACTGAGTGATGTACAGTGTGTGTGAACCTACATGTGTGTACACCGAGCCGGTAGACGAGCTATATGTGTGATGTACAGTGTGTGTGAACCTACATGTGTGTACACCGAGCCGGTAGACGAGCTATATGGTGTGATGTACACTGTGTGTGAACCTACATGTGTATAGACACAGTCAATAGACGAGCTATATTGTGTGATGTACGTTGTGTGTGAACCTACGTGTGTGTACACCGAGCCGGTACACGAGCTATATTGTGTGATGTACACTGTGTGTGAACCTACATGTGTGTACACCGAGCCGGTAGACGAGCTATATTGTGTGATGCACCCTAGACAATATAAGCTTATCCAACCTCACGTCTAGACAAACAAAATCAAAGCCATGTATCCGGTGGACATAAGTTTCGCATGTAGGCTCAAACTCTCTCAATAGGAATGACAAGCGGGCAGTTCAATGGATGTCATTTCAGACTGAGCACTATCAACATAACATACCTAGAGTTATCTCCCTCTACAATCCGATGTGCTCAGTTCCGTTCGCTGAAATGGGTCTGTGTGTGAATGAGTGAGTTTAGTTTTACGCCGCACTCAGCAATATTCCAGCTATATGGCGGCGGTCTGTAAATAGTCGAATCTGGACCAGACAATCCAGTGATCAACAACATTAGCATCGATCAACGTAATTGGGAACCGATGACATGTGTCAACCAAGTCAGTGAGTCTGACCACCCGATCCCGTTAGTCGGCTTTTTACGACAAGCATGGGCTACTGAAGATCAATATTCTAACTCGGATCTTCACGGGTAGAAATGGGGCTGATATGTATCGAGTTACTGTATTGGTAAGAAAACGGCATATTACTGTATACCTTACATGTCAGAGTAGTGAGGGCCTTTGAGGAGTCACATCGGCAGCATTTCAGCCACATCGTGCCTAAAACGAGTGATACGTGTATAACACATACAGTTCAGATGTTAGCTATTGTAGACAGTTCTAGCCAAGGTGGGAAAGACATATATCCCCGCATGTAGCCAATGAGAATCCACTCACTTGATACAAGGACGAATCATCGGTATACAGTAAAGTAGGGTTATGGCGAACTCAAAGGACCACTATATAGTTTTCGTGTGGTATAACTGTAACGCGATGTTCGAGTTCACTACACAGCCAGTGACCAGCGCCCCGTTTCACATAGCTCTCGTAAGCCTAAGATCTCGTAACTTTTCTCGTAGCATTCGTACCTCCATTACTGTAACATAGGAGGTACGAATGCTACGAGAAAAGTAACGAGATCTTAGGCTTACGAGAGCTTTGTGAAACGGGGCCCTGGGCCGTAAATGCAGTTCGTCATCAGAAATAATCTTGAATGCAAGTCGGTTTAGAAATAAACAGATAAGATGAACATGAAACAAACAAGTCATATAACGCAATGGTATTTATTTCACTGAGTTTTTGTTAATCTTACACTGTACCGGAACTCATCTAGAGGATGGGACATCACTATTACTTCAGCTTGCTGCAAGATAAAGGAAGTTGTACCTCTTAACATCAAACAAAACAGTACCCCAAATCAAATGCAATTATGTCCTCCTCCAAAAAAAACCACAAAACATTAACGGACAGATATTGAGATATTCGAGCTCGACAATGTCTCACAAAACACACACATTCACCTCTCTTCATCTCTCCCTCAAACCCAGACTCAGACACACGCGCAAACATGCGCATACGCACACGCATACGCACACACATATGCACACCAACACGCACACACCACGCACACGCACACAAATTATCCAATGCTATCAAAAGGACCGTTTCTAACACAGGACAATGCCGACGTTTGCGACTTCAACCGAGACAAATACACAGGGACTCAAATCAAACATTAAGTAGCGCCATCATGTCAAGTTTGATTCGCATTCTCGATGGCGCGTTTTCAATAAAAAATTAAAACTGAAACGTTTTTCGTACAACTGATTGAGAATCAATCGGCGGAGAAGCCTCATTTTTCGTTACAAATATGACAAACGTTTAACAATCGAATGTATGTAAACACACATACTTGAGGAGATGTTCCGAGTAACGGTCAAAGTCTTCTTGACTGATCTGCCCAGCATCCCTCTTCTTCTTCAGACCCGCAATGGTACCTACATGACATAAGACAGTTATTGTACCTACACGACACACCATGACATTAGACAGTTTTTGTGACTGGTCTGGCATCGCCATTCTTGCTATCAACGGACTAGACCAAACCAAACTGACTAGACCAAACGCAAACTCACCGAAGCCATTCAAATCAAACGCCAAAAGCCCACCATCAACCGAGATCAAATATACAGTGGAAACCTGATAAGTAAAATTTCAAGGGACTCGACAAAATTGTTTACTTATAAGGTATTTTACTTATCCAAACTTATAAAAACCTGCAAATGACAACCATATGCATGTATATGCATGCATATGTAACAATGAACAACTTATCAGGGATGGCCTCCAGTTGTCAGTGTATTGTCAACTGCTTGACGCCAGCGAGCTGTAAGTAGGATGTTTGTACTTCCTTCCTTCAGATCCCCACATGGGTATAATGTCTGAAGCCCATTTCTGTTGTCCCCCGCCGTGATGTTGCTGGAATATTGCTAAAAGCGGCGTAAAACCAAACTCAGTCAGTCAGTCCTTCCTTCGGATTATGATGCAGTCCTCCAACGAGCCCAAACAAAAGAATATACATCTCCCAGTTTAAACTACTCCTTTGATTTGTACATCTCTGGCTTCCACGTCTTACCCTTTGCTATTAACTGGCGTTGTCAACTAACTGTTAAGCCATTATGTTAATTGGGTTGTTTTCCTTTTCACACGCAGCATATATACATCCACTTCAGCTGATGTTAGATTCCACCTTGACAATGGTACAAGAATCTGTATCGAAACGTCGCACTCACGAAACAAAGAAGTGGTTATCCATAAAAATGTACACCCCAATTTCTAAAATGCCACTCAAAGAAGTTACTTTGGTTGAACAAACACACAGCTAAAAGTCTAGGTATGGCAACAACGTTAATGGTAGGGTGATGTCATAGTTATTTTCGTTTAAGAAACAAACAAACAAAGTTGAGTTAGTGAGTGGGTGAGTATGGTTTTACGCCACTT